AAAAAAAGCCTGAAAAAATAACTAATTCAGCCACCACAGCTAAAGACTGATCATCTATAATATATAAAATATTTTGTTTATAAGTTTAGATATGGTTGAACATTGATGCGACATGTATATGTGCCGATTATATTAAAGTGGACCTTTACCCCTTTAACTAAATATCACATCAGCATACAGCTCTTCATGCTGATGTGAAATCATCTTACATTCATTAACGAAACACATATATTTTTATTTATTTACAATTATTGTTTTTCCACTTCCTGGTCCTCTTGGACATTAGTGATGTAATGTGTGACAAAGTGTTGCATTCTGGGAAGGTTACATTAGCAGAGCATTAATCTCTCGAGTTCTCAGGAAAAGGTCATTTCCTCCCCTGAGATGATGTACACGGTCACATTTCCTAGTCACATGTCCCAGAGTTCATGGAAGTAAAAACAGATCTAGTAACCTGACCTTAGTAAAAATGGCCACTGTCAGAGGAATGAGGATGAATGCAAAGAATAAAAAGCTGGCAATTATCTATAAGCATCTCTTTGTAGATTGTCATTACTAAACATTTCTAAAGGCGCATTGGTTGTTATTTTTAAGATATGGGGAAAGTTCCTCTTTAACTCCACCAGTTGACATACGACAGCCAGTGGCAAGTGCCACTTGTTACCATCCTTGTTGCAATCTCCGTCAGGAACAGGAAACAAACAAGTTTTACTTGTTTTTCCACTTCCTGGTCCTCTTGGACATTAGTGATGTAATGTGTGATCAAGTGTTGCATTCTGGGAAGGTTACATTAGCAGAGCATTAATCTCTCGAGTTCTCAGGGAAAGGTAATTTCCTCCCCTGAGATGATGTACACGGTCACATTTCCTAGTCACATGTTCCAGAGTTCATGAAAGTAAAAACAGATATAGTAACCTGCCCTTAGTCACAATGGCCACTGTCAGAAGAATGGGGAGGAATGCAAAGAATAAAAAGCTGGCAATTATCTATAAGTATCTCTTTGGTCGATTGTCATTACTAAACATTTCTAAAGGCGCATTTGTTGTTATTTTGAAGATATGGGGAAAGTTCCTCTTTAACTCCACCAGTTGACATATGGCAGCTAGTGGCAGGTGCCAGTTGTTACCGTCCTTGTAACAATCTCCATCAGGAACAGGAAACAAACAAGCAGAATCAGGTCAGACAGGCAGGAAACAATCAGTGGTCAGGAGATGAAGGATCAATCTATAGTGAAATGAGATCAGAGAAGTGCTTAGAGACAGCGGGACAATGATGGGGTAGATCAGGGTCACACTCTGGAGAATTATCCAAATAATACATGATTCTCTTGTTTTGTGGTAGAAATAAACAGGCTAGCAGCAGGAAACAGGAAGAGCAGGGCGCTGATCTGTTCTGAGGATAATGGCATAATTGCAAGCAGATGTCATACTGCCAGGACATCAATCCAGTTTTACTTTACACATCTCAGAATGGAAGACTAACAGCGTGACTATAGCTAAATGTACTGGCCTTAAGGATAAACTAAAATCTTTTAAAGTAGAACAACGGTCAAAGTTAAAAATTGCATATGCAAATTGCATATGATGCTGTCTGTCAATAGTAATAATGTAGCTTGTATCCGGACTTCAAGCAAGCAAAAAAAATAAAAAAAAAGGTCAACTTTTTCCTCTTCCTCTGGATCAACCAGGTTTTTCTGTTGTTTAGGCTTGATTTTTCCCCTTTCTCCCTCATCAGCATGCTAATGAAATGCATTCTTTCCATGTTCATTATATACCTTATATTAGATTCAGTGACTTCATCACTGAGTCTTTCTGCTTCTCCAAGTTGGACTTAAACGTTTTGAGAAATGCTTCCTCCTGACTGGTAACATCATCTCGCCTAGGCAAAGTCACTGTCTGCAGCTCATGGAAGGAATGTATTAATTAAAGTGGCACTAAACTCAGGAGTTAGGTCTTAAAAATGTATTCAAGCGCCCTAACTAGTAACACAAATGTAGCTTATATGTGTATCACTCGGCTGTAGATCCTCAAATCATCTCTGAATTGGTGCTGACACAAATAAGATAATTTTTTTGTTAATAGGTACTTGCATGGATTTTTAAGATCTAACTTTTGAGTTTAAAGCCACTTTAAGACTTGTACATTTTCTGAATAGTCCATTTTAAACTGCCTGCATGTCTGGATCTACAGATCATTTGATGTTGAGTTTGAATTGCCAACATTTGTGACAGGTTTTCTTTCAAGTGGTACTGCACCCACCTATCCTTTACAGCCAAGGAAGGTGCCATCTTAGCCTCTATTTGGATTGCAGTTGCCATGGTGCTGCACATGTGATCAGCTATGATACCAGCCATTTGAGAGCTTGAAAGTTTGGTTGAGAAATGAAAGACACATACTAGCAAGCTTGACAGTTGGCATGCCTTTAAAGTAACCATTTGGGAGACAGATTGGTGGGTCTAGTTCCACTTTTGGCTCCATTCACACCTATATTTTAGGTGTGATTAGGGATTCCTGCATCAGGAATTTGCGATTTCCTGCAGCGGGAATCCTTAATAGCATCCAGGGAGAGTGATTGATTGTGGCACATACAATTACATGCAGTGTGCCAGTGTTCAAATGCAACGGCTGTCACCCGATCATTAACTTGAATGGGAGACAACTGCTGCTTGTAAATGGCAGATTAGAGATTCCTGCTGCAGGAAATCACAATCCCTAATTGCACCTAAAATATAGGTGTGAATGGAGCCTTAAGTATTTGCCTAGAATTGTTACATTTTAAAACTCAAGTAAGAAAAAAATACAATGTGTTATGTGCTGTTGTAATTGAATTGCATATTACAGTCCCTGCGAGTTAATAATTTACTTGTACTGAATCCAGGTGAAGATGACATTTGAAGAACTCATAAACATTATTTGCAGTATTCTTCTGAATGTTGTAATATATCCTTTTTTTACAGCAGAATATTGACTCATATATAACCTTCATTTTCCATTTAAAAAAATTGCTACAGCGTATGAAAATAAGTAATGTAATTGGTGAAAGTGCAGCATGCAACTGTTAATTACATAGAGAGAACGGCTGAACTTGGCTGCGGAGCGGAAACCTTTTTTTAACGACCCCCGGTGTTTTCATTGCTATAGAACATAATCTCAGAAATGTAACATAAATACTGTGTTCCCAATATACCAAAATATTGTCTGGATTGTTATCTTTGAGAACAAATTGACCAAAAACCTCCATCACTTTAGCCGCCTGGTAGCATTTGAGTTACTGGAGACAGTTTGAGTAAAATTGCTTGTGCTTTTCAATAAATCCAGTGAGTAGGTCTCTTTCTTACTGCTATAGCTAACAAGTGACGCCAGGCTTTCCTCAGATGTCAAAGAGTATCTGAGAATTCTGTTTTAAAAAAGTATAAAGCTTTAGCATATAACAGGAACAAGATAAAAGCAGCTCATTTCTTTTAAAAAAATTCTGTACCTGAATCTAATATTTCAGTTATAAGTGGGACCTGTGAAGCTGACCTATCCATTGTGTTCTTCTTAAATAAAAAAAATACAGCAGGGTTGGACTCTCTTTTAATATTGAACTGACCTAGGCACTGTTAGGGAACCAAGAAACCAGATATAAACTTACAGTATATGTTTAAAAAATAAAAGAGGTTTATTGAAAACTACAATAAACATACAGTAAATGGCAAAAAACAATAGAGAAAGTGCAGGACGCAGTCAGAGCCAAGCCAGAGGTCAGATGCCAAAGTAGGTAGTCAGCAGAATCATGTTAGGGAACACTGAGAGCAAGATGAACAGAAACAATAGCTGGAGTCAGGAACCAGTAGATTAATCAGCCAAAGCCATGGTCATACACGGAGAAAAAGAACAATAGCACAGCACTTGGTAGATCATAACACACGCAAGAGTGGAGACTAAAGGGACAAGCTGATGGTTAAATAGTGAGCTGGTGTTGCATCATCACTCTGAGACAGGAATTTGTCAGGAGTTTTGTTAGTAGTTACAGAATGATGATGTTAATGGGTTTGATCATAAGAGGGTGCCAAAGAAGAACAAATGCACAAGCCATGCTGCAAGCAACTGGACAAGGGAGGGTAAGAAACCCTGACAGGCACATGCCAATGCCATTGACCAAACATGGCTCTGTGAACATTTAAGGTCAATGATGTCACCATCTTCCCCCCTTTTTGTTTACGTGCAGCTGCAGGGCAGGGAAAAACCTGGCTTCCTTCCGGGTTTGGATGAACTCAAGACCGAAGCTAAGGTCCCCCTAACTCTGAATTCCTGCTGTAGTCATTATGGGAGGCTCCCACTCACCCTGCTGGATTTGTTATGTATTGTATATGGATATATAGAGAGAATGCAACAGGAGGAGCTGGATCATGCATAGTTGGGTGGAAACACTCAAAACTCTACTTCACTCCAATTCACATTTGCTCTGCAGCCAAATGTTCTATTCTCCTGAAAAGTAACTTACCTAAAGCAGTAAGCGATAGGTCCTATTTAGGTAACCATCTTTTACTTTACGGAATCATTATTGCTAAATGTGCTTAATGAGTGATTACAGTTTGATGTAAATTCTTTTGCAATGCATCCAACCCAAGCTCAAGGCATAATGGTGATTGGGAGGGAGGGAAAGAGCTCCTGTAAGGGAGGAAATCTGCAGTAGAACGATTAAGCGATATCCTGCATCTTCCTAATTATCCCAATCTAAGTCAGGTGTAAACTCAAACAGCTTGATCCGTTTATCTCTTAGTAGCTGCTCTTCTATATGGCAAATGATAATACAAAACCCAAACGGTGAACTTGCAACACAAAATGCATCATAAAGAGACCCCTGACCTTTGAATCACATCTCTTTTTTTCAAATCTTACCCCCTTCCTTTGTACTCTGCAAGTTCCTCATTTTAAAAGTTTTCCTTCTAAATTATCCAAAGTTTTTTTTGTTTTGTTTTTTTTATAACTCTGTTTATTTGTGTTTTTCCTCCCCAGCTGTGCACAAAGTGGAAACGCTCGGCGGAACAGCCACCAGCGAAAAATTAATCAGCAGGAAGAGAGCTGCCAAAATTTAACGGACTTTACCCCAGCTCGAGTCCCCAGCAACATAGATATATTTACCGCCTACAACGAGACCTTGCAGTGTTCTCACGAATGCGTTCGGACCCCCGTGCCCGTATATGCCACGGAGGAAACGTTGCACCAAACCACAGCTTATAAGACAGCCTTCAATGGTAATAGGTAAGAGACTGACAGTATGTTGTTCTTTTTTGTTTGTATTTAAACATTTTTGTTTCAGTATTTGTGTTTATATTTATACAGTGGCATTATACAGTATTTCATAATCAGTCTCAATAAAAGTATGATATAGATTTATTATTTCTTCATAAATCCATGCAGATGAACTTATTTGACTCTTCATTCTGACCTACTTTAAACTAAGGAGCAGCCTGGAGGTTTTTGGTGTTGCACTTAAATTTGCCATTAGCAATTCTGTATATAAAATTGTACTAAATAGCAAGACCTGTTTACATTAAAGAACATCTCTGGGTAAAATTGTTATTAACCCTTGCAGTGGGACTTCCACCCGCTCTGCAAGGGTCAAGTGCTCGTTTTTGTCTAGGAACAAAAATAAAAAGTTATAATCACCCGATCCTCAGATTCACAACAGAAAAAAATTGCTGGAATTAGGCTGTAAAGGAAACTTGTGGGGAGAGAAAATGTAAGTTGTCTTTGCTGACATCTAATGGCTTTAGTACTGTATGGGTTACTGACCTGGAACTGCATTCTTGTACTGGGTCAGTGACCCACAAGGTGTTAGAACTAGAGGCAGCCAGGCAAACAGCAGTCATACAAGGATGTCAGTAATGGCAGCCCCATATTGTCAAAGTATAGATCTTCATTAAGGCTTTGTCCTTAACTGCTATAGTTGCAAGAGTGAATAATAATATCCATATACTATCTATCTATCTATCTATCTATCTATCTATCTATCTATCTATCTATCTATGCATTATCTATCTATTCATTATCTATCTATTCTCTCTCTCTCTCTCTCTCTCTCTCTCTCTTTCTCTCTCTCTCTCTCTCTCTCTCTCTCTCTCTCGCTCTGTGTATTTGTTTATCTGTCAGTCAATCTATCTGTTCTTTCTTTCTTTCTTTCTTTCTTTCTTTCTTTCTTTCTTTCTTTCTTTCTTTCTATCTATCTATCTATCTATCTATCTATCTATCTATCTATCTATCTATCTATCTACCTATAGATATAGATATTCTAATCTAGCTTAGAATTTAAATTCTGCATATATTCCGTTGTTGAATCTGCTGGAGTGGGTCTCTCCATAATACTGGTGTCACAGACTCCTTTGTGAATTCCTTACAGGAATATATGGAAAATGTCCTCCAGAGGAGAGGCAATAATTTCACAATGTAGTCTAGGCTTTCATGGCTGTAGCAGGACTGGAGCGAAGCAAAATTGGGGGTTCCTTCGTCGTTTAGAGTCATAGGCAGCAGAAACCTGTTAGGGGATCCAAACAGGGCAGCATTTCACTTTAACACATTATCTTCATACTCAAAGCACATTTTAATTATTATTATCTTTACTTCCGAATTGGGTAATGACTGTATACAAGCATTATTTAACGTAAGAAGATTTTAACAGCAGACAATTAGCATACAATTAAAATGCTATGTATAATTGTACATAGAAATATAACAAGAGCTGCTTTAATGATTAGACATTACCGTAATTATTTTGTAGCACTTTCCTGCCATGATTCGCAAATGCTGTTTAGCAGACAACAAAAATAATTAATTAAATTATACATTTTATTCATAGAATTTTTTTTAAGAGCTTAATAACATGTTTAATACAACTAAAAAAAATGAAATACCTGTATGCAAATTCTATGAGTGAGACATATACAATTAAATAATTAAGTAAAGAATGCTTTTTTTTCTTGATCAACAAATAATTGCAATAACTGCAGCAATTCCATAAACTTTTTAAATGCAAAAAATAACCAACCAGAATATTGCCAGCTCATTGTCAACTTGGTGTACAACTTATTTCACTTTTTTTTTAAATTTTAATATGCAGTTCCTAAATGTTTATTTTAAATGGGATCGCCTCTCCTTCTCTTTTATAATACACCTTCTTTTCACTGTGCCCACCTGGTCCACCCAGTTTTTGAAAAAATTTTGTAATCTGGCCTCCATGGGTACTTTATAGATGAAGAAGCCTCTATAAAGATCTTGTAGTGATGATGGGAGAGACGGACCACTGCGTAAAGTTTTCTCCAGCACATCACACAGATTCTCAATAGGTTAAGGTCTGTGCCCGTTGAATCCTGGCATTGTCATCTTGGAAATTGCCTGTGCCATCAGGGAAGAAAAAATCCATTGATGGAAAAACCTGGTCATTATGTATATTCAGGTAGGCATCTGAAATATAATTTTCACACATGGATTGACCACCATAGAGTCCAGACCTTAACCTGAGATTTGTTGGGATGTGCTGGAAATGACTTTATACAGTGGCCCGACACTCCCATCATCACTACAAGATCTTGGTGGAAGATTAATGCAACTCTGGACAGTAAAAAATGTTGTGACGCTGCATAAGCTTATTGAAAGGATGCCACGGCAATGTGTGCGGTATTCAATAATAAAGGCAGTCCAACCAGATATTAGAGTGTGTGACTTTTATTTTGGGCCAGGCAGTGCATTAATTTGTGTATAGTGGTTGGGGCAGTCATGTGAGTCAACTTATGAAAGTGAAACACTTTATCATAGTTTGGTCTGCCATTCTCCATTGGGGGGGTTGGCAGGTAGGGGGGCGCATTGAGGAACCTGGCCTTGGGGCAGCAGAGAAAGTAAATCCGGCCCTGCAGACAGGTCAACATGTAAAAATAGAGAAATAGAGTGCTCTATCTGCCCGATGGATGTGAAAATACAACATATGCAAATTCAATATTTTTTTAATGACCAGACTTAAAAAAATTAAAATTATATTTATATTGTAAATAGTATTTTTTTAACTTTCAAATAACTGACAGTGAGATATAAGTTTGGTCCAGGAGAAAGAAGAGCACGCCATGAAAGTTTATTTTATGGATTTGATGTAGTGTGTATCTCGCTCTGTCCTCTGCAGGAAATGAGCTGCGAGCAGTGACAGGCTCATGACAGTAATTTTCTAGGATAGACAGCAAGGCAAAAAAAATCAAGGCTGTTCCATCTGCAGCTTATAGGGAAAAAAAAGAACTTTCTGACTGTTCTGACCTTACGGTTTGTTTTTACCTTCAATGTGTCAGTGGTTTTGTTTTTGGTATTATTTACAGTTATTTAAACTATTGCTACTGAACTCCATTTTCAAAGCAAGATTGTAAGTTTTTTGCAATTGTTATAAAAGATGCTCTCTGTGCCCTCTGTTGCTTTGTCCAGTCAGGGCAAAGTGACAGGTACTCTTGTGAGAACAACCCCCCGCCCAGTGATATACCCTCATTGCACCCTCAGAGCCCTTGGTAAATACACTATATTGCACTATGAGAAAAAAACACTATTTGTTGATCAAGATAAAAAATGTCATTTTAAAAATAATATGTGTTTGATCTCGCTGGATGTGTGAATTAGTAGAAATCATTTTTGTATTTGGACAACAGCAAATTAGATATATAATATACATAATGTGTAGCATTGAAAATGTGCAGTTTATAGGGGTATGGTGCCTAAATGGTTTTGAGGGGAATTTACAATTTTAGTAAACTTATTCAATCTGCAATTAAAACATTTCATAAAACTTTTGTGTCTATTCAACGGAAAATGGACAGTTAATGAAGATATATTTTTTTTAAAACAGAGAAAAGTTGAAGGTGTTAAGGACATCAGAACAGTTTTTACTGTTTAGTAAATTTATGCCACAATTTTTATTAAAGGACACCTGGTATAACAGAAATTAACAGGGTTATTCACAAAAGGGTGAAGAGTTTGGAGAAGGCAGGAGAAGTGAACAATCTAGGACAACATCGCTGAACTGGAAAGTGAACTGAATTGGAGAATTTTTCCAAATCAGCTATTTTGGCCTAGATTGTTCACTTCTCCTCCCTTCTCCAAACTCTTCACTCTTTTGTGAATAACCCTGTAAGTTTCCATTTTCTGACCTGCCCTCCGAAAATATTAGTTGCCTGGTCAATATTCTGACCTGAAATGTATGCAGATTAGAATTTCTCACTGAGCTCTTGCTTTCTAATCTACATGCCAATTTCGGGTCGGAGATAAATCAAACATTGATGTCAGAGACAGCCTGGCAGGTCGCATTCATTTTCAAAAGGTGGTCAGCCATGATAGCTTCCAGTTAATTTATAATAACAGTTTTTTTCCCCAAGTTAAAGCATAATGGATGATGGGCCAGTAGAAATATGCAGTATAGGGGACTGGAAGGAGTCTGCAAGCTTCTACACTACCAAGGAGTCTTGACTCTTTGTTTAGACTTATCAGAAGCCTGCTTTGGTTAAAATGACCGAATCACTTTAAATTTGACCATTGTACATTTTTCTGAAATCCTAACAAATGGGGAACATATTTTAATAGGCTTAGTGTAAAGGAAATTGTCTATGTCTGTCCTCCTGCAGTGAGGAAGTAGGGGAAGCTTTTACTGTTCCATTGACATTTATGATGTATACTGTAATCATTTAATAATTTAGTTGTTGGGAAGACATTTTGGATACTACCATTTTAAACAGTTTTTTTTTGTCAGTTGACATTTTAGGTAGCTTTGTGAATGTCAAGAACTGTAGCATTTTTTTTGATAAAAGCAAAACTAAACTCAGGAGTTAAATCTTAAAATTGCATTCAAGTACCTTAACTATTAACAGAAATGTATCTTATTTGTGTATCACTCGACTGTAGATCCTCAAATCATCTCTGAATTGGTGCTGACACTGTCCTTCCTTCTGGAGGGGGGATACTTTTGTTCCCCATGGTCCTTGTGTGTGTTGTAAAGAAGTCACCGCTCCAAGCTCACTCCTGTGATAGACTACAATCTCATGTTTAGTTTACTCATTTGTATTGGTATTGTAGTTCATCATGGGAGTGAGCTTGGAGTAGTGACTACTTTACAACACACACAGGGGCCATGGGGAACAAAATTAGCCACCCTCCAGAAGGAAGGACAGTGTCAGCACCAATTCAGAGATGATTTGAGGATCTACAGCTGAGTGATACACAAATAAGATACATTTTTTGTT